TATATACATATATAGATATAGATATATATACGATATAGATATAGATATATATTTCACCCTGCAGAAACGTTTTGTCAGAGCCCCGACAACCTCTCCCTCTCTGCCTACGGTTTACCGGGCAGCTATGTTTGACTACATATATATACATTTATTATATGTATATATATGTGAGTCGTTCAACCTCCAACGACACAGTCTGTCACATCCCCTTGTTTGTTGTCCTATTCTCCCTCCCTGCCTGCGGTCTACCCGGCAGCTCTGTTTGACGATTTATATATATATGTGTGTGTGTGTGTGTGTGTGTGTGTGTGTGCTTACATCGAATTCATGAGTTTGTGCTCTAGCACACGTGAACACTGACAAGACAAAGCTTTGTTTTGTTATTTTTTTCTTCTTTTATGTATTTGCCCATCAAGCTAGGCTACAAGAGTGGCCCGGGGTCACTTGCCCGGCCAGGCCAAAAAAATAAAAATAAAAACATTATTTTTAATTTTTAATTTTTATTTTAATTTTGGTGAAGAATTTCGATGTGACCCTGAGGCAAACGTTGTTCAGTTTATTTTTCTGCATAACATAGTTTTTTTTCAGAGTTTTTGGAGGTCTTTTTTTTCTTTTTTTTTGTTGGGACCTCCTTGCACGGGCTGGCCACCCGGGACCCGGGCGGCCCGGCTGGTAGCCTACCCATCAAGTATATAAAAAATAAAAATTGATCTGCAAAACGAAACAAACTTTCAATTCGTGTTGTGATAATTTGTGTCTCTGGGTTTACAAGTCCGTGGTGCCATTTATCATCAGTGTTGTAGTACGAGTATGAAAAAAGGAATGTTTTATCCTTCACACACTCAGTTGCTGTGGTGTTCCTGATTTGTTGCGAGTCTTGCGGCACTGTGTTTTTTTCCTTGTCTTTTTTTTTTTCTGAGTACATGAGTGCAATGCCCTTGCGATACGGTCGGCTCTGCGTTGTTCATAATTACTGTACCCCCCCCCCGGCAGCGAGCAGTGAGCAGCAGCGAAGTTGCTATTT